CCTAAAACAAATCCCTGTCAGAAGGCATTTTGGCACTATTAGTCAGAGAAGTGTTTCAGCTATGGGACCTCCTGGACACCTGAAACAGCATTAACCCTCTCTTCCCTCCCATGAATCCCAAGAGAGGACTGTAAGTGGAAGCACTACCTGATACTTAGGAATCAAGCTGTTTCAAGGTCTGATGAGTCAGTGAAAAGTTTTCATTGCTTAATGGATGACAGTTGGAAGAGTTTCAGTGATTTGCAAAAAAGTGGAGAAGTACAAGACTTAACAATGTGTTTTAATAGAAAGGATTAAAGATGTGGTATCAAAACAGACAAGAGGGAGATGACTTCAGACTCCACCCAAAATCCACTGATCAGATGTCAACTTCCATTGACTTCAGTGGGCTTTCTATCAAAATCATATTTTTTGTTGAAACAAACAACTTTCTATTCCTTTCTACAAAGCGCTTTTAACATGTTTAAATGTGTATGTGGTGTATTAACCTCTGTTCATGTCTAGAGGAGTGGACCATCTTCTGAGAACTGCAACAGACACCAGATCTGGATCAAATATTTTCTGAAGTCAAAAAGACTGATAATCCAGTAGATCCTTCACAGAAACACTAGCATCACCATTTCCTGCACAGTAGAGCAAAGGACGAGTACCGCTGATGAGCAGTGTGTGACATACACCCAGTTCTGCCCAAACGACACCTGAAAGGGCCGTCAATGAAAAATAAATAACAAACTGAAATAAGCATCTCTAAAGCTAGAGCAAATAGGTAATTGTTCAGCTGGAATTGCTGCCCTGCAGTTATGCTGTTCAGCAGAGATTTCTCCGATCCAGCCTCCCATCTTCCTGCCGAAGTGTGATGCTCCACTAGGATATCACCTCTGTTCCCTGCACAGAACTGAGTGGGCCATGCCCGATTTGTGGAGAAGGAGTGAATGCACTGGCAGGTGCAAGATGGCACATGTGACACCACTTAAAATAGTCAGGCATGTCTGAGGGACTGTGTTGGCCCCAAGGGCCCCCTGTTAAACTGTAACAGGAGTTCTGCATACCTACACGGATGGCAATAGAAAAAATGGTGATCTTTGAACAAGCCTCTAGTTAAAAAGTAAGTTTGATCTTTTGAATTTTTGAGATTTTTTTATGACAGAAGCCTAAACCAGATGGCTCTGACTGGGTGGCAGGTGAGGTATTCCCCCTGTGATCTGCTTCTAAAATTAGCTTCATACATTGACTTGAAAACATTACTCCCACTTCATCCTTACCCTTGGCAGGAGGCTTGCAGGAAGAGATTCAGAGAGGATCCTCTCTCCTCACACAATTCAGGGGCCTGGATTTCACTCTGACAGATCAAGCTCAAAGGCTTCTGATGCCTCTCTCTGAGGACAGCATCACACCCTCTGCCAAAGTAGGTCTTTCCTTCAGGGTATCTACTCAGCATCTCTGAGGAGGAAGAGGCCATCCTCCCAGGCCTTTCATCCCTGCTAATTTCCTTGAAACTTACTGTGGCATGTATATTCAAGGAACACCATCACTCTTTAAAGACTTCTTAAGTGTAATTGAGAAATGCAGACACCAGACAGGTGATCTCTGCATTTCTGGGCCTTTCCATCTACCTGGCTACCCACAACCATATTGCAGGAATCATAGAATCATAGGATTGGAAGGGATGAATATCATCTAGTTTCAATGTCCCTGCTGTGGGCAGGGACACCTTCCACAAGCCCAGATTGTTCAAAGCCCCATCCAACCCGGCCTTGAACACTTACAGGGATGGAGCTTCTACAGCTTCTCTGGGCCACTCTGTTCCAGTGCCTCACCACCCTCACAGTGAAGGGTGATAATGAACTATTGAATGACAGCTGTAAACATCTCTTGGTCTTCTTTAACCAGTAGTACAGTATGAACCCAAAAGCTTATGTTCCTGAAGAAAGCTTGGGGAGGGGTGAACATTCAGCTCTTTGTAACTATGTGATTTTTTCTCCTGTCACCTCAAGAGGCAACACTGACAGATAAAGAAAATAAAACTGCGCTGAAACACCTCTGTGTACTTCCTACCCTCTGCTGAACTCCCACCAGCCCTGCAAAGCAGCAAACAGCAACACCTGCCCTGGGAAGATGCCCTCAGTTTGTGGCCATGCACAGCTCCACAGGGGGTATTCACCGAGCCACTGGCTTGGGTGCATTCATGGCTGCGTGTCTGAGCAGGTCCCGTGGGGCCACCAAGAACCTGGGAGGAGGTGTCACAAGGATATGAGCTGGCCATGGCCAGAGTTGCAGACTGTGTGGCCTCCAACAAAGAAAACAAATTCATCTAGGAAGAGCAGGGCTGCTAGGTGGCAAAGTGCAACTCAGTTACCTGGCTTGTGAGGACTGAGGCATGTGAGACAGGGAGCCTCTCAAAGGAGTGGGCTTATGCTACCAAGCTCTTAAATGTTTGGATGTCCTACCTGAGGTTATCTGGAAATTGTCTCTCCAGTTTTCTATGGAATTATTCTGTTTCAGCAATATCAGGCCTCCTACCTCTGACAATGCTGTGAGCATGTCCTTACCACATGCTCTTTCTCTCTCCTATCCCTGCAATTGCATACCCACTGCATAGCCTTTCTCCTCTCATTTCCCCTCACTGGCTGCTGCTCTTCCATTTTCCAACTCAAGCTGAAGCCTGGTTGCACTCTTCCACTCCAGCCAGTGATACCACTGTTCATCTCCCTCAATATTTTGTTCTGCAGTTTTTCAGTCCAGATCATCTCCTTTCCTCCTGCCATAGGAATTTCTCCAGAGCCATCCTCTGCCCCTTGTCATCCCTGTCATCTCCTTTCAAGAAAATGACTTCTCCTGCTCATGGACCTCAACCTGCCCTATGCTCCTGACGCCAAATGGGTTGACGCAGTAGCATGAGCTCTTGCTCAGGTCCACCCAGACTTATTACCCTACAGCAGATTTATCACTTGGCACTGTTGATACAGGAGCAACTACGAGTTATGAATTAAAATGGAGATAAATTCCCCACCTGTGGCTTGCCCTTTTCCTTTCCCAGCCCTGCATAATGTGAGTGCTGCAACCTGTCTGTAACAACACAAACCCCTGCATGGTTCAGTGGCAACACATCACTGCTTTGAAAGATGCAAAGCAGAAACCCTTCAGAACACCCTTTTCCCCCATGGCCACCACCATCAGGAGGCTAAGAAGTGTGGGAACAGCCTTCCCTGTAACAGGCAGGTTGCAGGACAAGCCCCTGAGTAGCTCACAAGCAGCCGTAGGGGCTCGACAGGTCCCTGGAGGCTAGAAGCCCCTGTCTAGACGCTCTCACCTGGAGGGCAGAGAAAATGACAGCAGCAACGTGAGCAGAATGCTTCTCTGTGGTATGTAACTCAGCACTGAAAAATTAGAAAGATGACAATGATCAGCCTATCTGTACCTTTTAAGGTAAAAACACAGTGATAACACTGCTGTGTGAGTCAGATGTTTGACTGCTATCAGGAGATTATGGACTTATTACCTTTCAGGAAGCATTTTGGTGATGATATAACCACAGCAGCACTTTTGAAATGCATAACAGAAAGCAGCATGGTAGTCTTAAGATACTGTCATGCTGCTCTTTAAAACAGAATTGTTCTTAAGTTGTCCAAGTTCAAAGTGCAGAGAAAGACATAAGCAACATTTTGCAGCGCTTGCAATATGCTTGCCTCCCAGGTTAGATTCAGGTAAGTAAAAACTGTGACTGCTCGGAAGAGTTCCACCCTAATGGCCCTCTACTGAGACCTAAAAGTGGTCTGGTAGAGAAAAGGAGATGTAACTGAATCGTTTCCTATTTTCAGAGCTTAAAACTGCTGTGAGGTATGATGACCGGTGTTATTGAACCCATCGGACCATATGGGGCTTTTTGGCCCTAAAATGTGTGAACTAAGCCACAGATTTCCAGTTCCCAGGAAAGAAGGGAAAACCTCTTACAGTTACGTGGCTCCACCGGTCAGTTACCAGAAAAGAATCGATAAGAAACGTCTTCAAATTGTGAGCGACCCGGGGTTAGCTACTGTCACTTAAGTCGCTCGTTTAAAACCGATCCGGGACGGAGGAAGGCTGCGTTTCACAGTTTCACTTCCACCCTCTCCGCCCCGACAGCACGCCCGGGCTCGGAAGCCAGCGCCTGCGGGCGGTGACGCAGGGCAGCCCCCTGCCCCAGGGCGCGGATCTCTGTCTCTCCAGGGACCAGCCTGCCCGCCTCAAGGTGCCGCGGCAGAGCCGCCGGGGCTGCGTGGACGGGGTGTGTGCGGGGCGTGTGCGGGGGGTGCGCTCCGCTGCAGTACCGCGCCTGGCCGCGCACCGGCAACAGCCCCCGCGGCGGGGCGGCCCCGGCGGGCGGGGCGGGGCGCGGCGGGGCGGGGCGGGCGCGGGCGCTGCGCGGCGGGCGGCGGGCGGCGCGGGGCGGTGCGGTGCGCGGCGGGCGGCGGGGCCGCGCGGGGCGCTGATGCCGCGCGGGGCCGGTCGCGCCGCGGGGCGGCGGGGCGCGCAGGGCGGGCGGCCGCGGGGCGCTCGGCCATGGGGCGCGGGATGTGGCTGCCGCTGCCGTCGCTGCTGCTGCTGCTGCTGCTGCTGCGGGCTGCCGCCGCCGCTGCAGGTGGGTTCTCCGTCCTCCGCGGGCGTGCGAGGCAGATACGGGCCGTGTGTGCGTGTGTGCGCGCCCGTGTGCGTGAGTGGACGCGGGCGTGCGCACGGCTGTGTTTGCCCGTGTCCGCGCACACGCACACACGCGTGCACATACGCAGGTGTGCGCGCACACAGTGTGCACGCCCGTGTCCGCACATGCGGTGCGTGTCGGTGCGTCGTGTGCCCGCGTGTGTGTGGAAGGGCAGAGGCCGGGATGCGCATCCCCCCCGCATCCCGCGCCGCAGACAAAGAGCGCTCCGGCCGCGGCGCCCCGCGCTGCGCGGGGCCGCCCCTGCCCGCGGAGCCTCTGTGGGGCAGCGACTCCGGCTGGGCTCGGGCCGGGGCCTGAGCTCGGGGGATGCCCCGGGAGGGGGGCCCGTCTGCGGAGCGATGCGGGTGGCAGCGGCGGGGCGCTGCGGGCTCCGCGGGCGCTTTGGGCGGCGGTGCCCCGAGCCGTCGGGGTGCGGAGGGCGGCGGGCAGGGCGGGCAGGGTTTTCAAAGCCTCTTCCCGTAGCGTAAACAGTTCGCGTTCAGAGCTGCCCGCAGCGGGGTCCCGCAGCAGAGACACTCGGGCATAAACAGTTTGCATAACACTTCCTCGGTCGGTTGCAAGCCGAGTGCCAATTTTCTTCTTTAAAAAGAAGAAAAAACCCAGATGAGAAACAAACATTTAATCAGGCACAAGATATAAACGAAACATCACAAGCCATGTGTTGCTAAAATGCTTAAGCAGGAAGCATATGATTTTCCATGGATGTTTTACAGGTGAGTCATGGTATTCACTGCATGCTCTTACTCATTAGTGAAGATCCCGGTTCCGTGGCATGTACAGTACATAGAATGGGAGGATTTAGGTGGGCAGACGCATTAAGTGCAAGTAGGGAAAAGCACCTTTCCCAGGGCTGTGGCAGAGCAGTCGTGCTGCCAGCATGGAACTCTCCATGCTCTTGATTTGTCCTTTTACTGAATTCCTGTGGCAGCCAGCGTTACACTAGAAAGCTGTCACTTTTCATAACATGCGGTGCTCTGCATCGGTCATGCAATTCTTTTCCAATTCAAGTGAAAACAAACACCCTTTCAAAGGGGGTTTCCTCTCCCCGCTTTCATCCCCTGGGACCCACGTCTGTGTGCCAGCAGCATTTCTCAAATCTTGCTGAAGCCAAGGTCTGTTGCCCCAAATCTGACCCTGGGTGAGGAAGGGACCTTCTGTGTCTGGCCGAAGGACAACTGCAGTCAGTGACCATGCATGACCAGGGCTGGAGCATAGCCGGAGCTTGGAGCAATTAAGTACTCTCAGCTCCCAGGGTCTCACATGGGATTTGGTAGCCAACCCTTCCTGGTTGGGCTCAGGCAGAGCCTTGTCCCTCCTGCCTTGGGGACAGCTACGCCAGGCCTGCCAGGAACGTCAGTCACTGGAAACCTCCCATTGGCCAGATCCTCCTCCACTGCATCCCCAGGGGCAGCAGTCAGTGTGCAGAAAACAATAATCTCTACCTGTCCCACGGTACTGACCGAGCCCTGCTCTTTTTCTGCCACTTCCCAAACCTCTTTGCAATCCCACAACTGAGGGAACCGCAGTAAATGTTCATCTACTTGTTTAGCGGCTAACTGCACTGTGTTACACGTAGCCAAAGAATCCAGGAAAGCAGCCAAAGATATAAATTAGGCAAACTACTGGCTGGCCTAACTGATAATATGATAATAGCACTTACTTACCTATCCCTCAGGAATGCTACGTAGTTTAGTTAATGTTTATACAACACTTTGAAAAGGATGTTTGGGAGATGTAAGTGATGTTGCATTAACCTTACAGTTCTATTTGTTTACTTTTCTAGAGGAAATATGTTCTGCACTGTTACTATAGGTCATCTCAGACACAGCTTTACCAGCACCCCATAGGAAGCTAACTTGACTGAGCATTTCTTGTTCACTAAAAATTTCCCAAGACTGCTTACCCACTGAAATCCAGAGACTGGATTCAGATGTGCTTTGTACTGGGTTCGTAGTGAGCATTCCACATATGTTCTGAAGAATCACTATTGAAAGCCTTTGGTGGTAGAAATGTTTTTTATCCAGGGTGTTTCTTGAGGAGCAGTAGAAGTGGGGGACACTGTCAGTCTTAGAAGGCTTAGCACTGCTAGTGCGTAATATAGCTTAATTGCAACTATGACACTGTAGACAAAAGCTGAATTAACCCCAGAGAAAGGACTTATTGGATGCTAAACTGAAATGACCTTTGGACATAACAAAAATGCCAAGAAGACATTAATTGGTGCACAAAGCTGACTATGTATGACTGGCCTGGTGATAAAGAAGACGTTATGCACCTCAGATGCTTTGGCCTGCACACACAAGAGTCATCAGAGATTTTTTTTTTTTTTGTGTCAAATAGTTATAGTTCATCAAATACAGCCTTGACCTACTCATATCTATTAATAAAGAAGTGGAGACCCCCTAATCAAACATTCCTGCACCAGGAGAGTTATGTTGCCAATGGTTTCACCTTAAACCCCATGGTGATTTTATTTTTCTTTGACACTTTAGCTGTGGATTTTTAAATCAACAAGGCTTCCAGAAAAACTTGAACAAAAACCACAGAGCCTCAGCTGTGAGGCAGGTTGCCAGCATAATTTCAAGCAAAGATTATTTTTTTCCTCCCTTTACACACATCAGTGACAGCCTTTCCAAAATTAGGCAGTGATTCAATTAAACACTGAAGTCGGCAGCAGTTTGGGACTGTGGGGAGATCTGGGGTAGGGATGAGTGGTGGGAAAGGGCATGAAGGCTTGAGGTCATTGCTGACAGGAGATTGTCCTGTCTGCCCTTGCAACCCAACACCTGATCTGCTGCATGGTGAGCTGGATCACAGCAGTGCCATCCTACGTGGCCATCATGACCATCTCCCGGCCTTGTGGTGGCATGTGGCCTTGGCAGCAGCCTGTCTTTCTTGTGCTTTTCTCCACTTCCCCGGGATCACCTGGATCCCTGTGGAAGCCTCGGGGCGTGAGTGGCATGCCCACTCATTGTCCCCAAAGCCTCAGCCCTGCTCTGGTCCCTCGGGGCAGGAGGGCAAGTTGGAGGCATCTCTCCCACCTGCTGCCTGCTCTGCTCTGCAACTCATGGTAGGGATTTTGCCAAGTGCAGGGAAAACCTGAGGGGTTTTAGGTTTTTTTTTTTTTGTTTTCATAGACACACTGAGCTCCCCAGTAGGGAGAGCTGAGCAGCAGTGCCACACTCTCCCCCAGCCCCGCCAGGGCTCAGCGGGTACCAGCATTACGTGGTCTCGGCAGGAGCAGTGTCCCTGTAAAGCGTGCTGCAGGACATGGCTGCTCTGAAGGGGTAGGGTGCTTCCGCCTCAGGAGCCAACTTCAACCCCCCCCAATCTCTGCCTTGCAGGTCTGGGCGGTGTGGCAGGAGCGAGCAGCCCCTGTGAAAAGGCCTGCAACCCCCGCATGGGCAACCTGGCGCACGGGCGGGCGCTGCGCACGGAGACGTCCTGCGGGCGTGACGCCGCCGAGCCCTTCTGCACCTACACCGAGGACACCGAGCGCCGCTGCAAGCGCCCCACCTGCGGCCGGTGCAGCCGAGCCCACGCGGGGCTGGCACACCCCCCCGCCGCCATGGCTGACTCCCCCTTCCGCCTGCCCCGCACCTGGTGGCAGGCAGCCCGGGATGCCCACAGCGAGACCATCCAGCTGGACCTGGAAGCCACCTTCTACTTCACTCACTTGATTATGGTCTTCAAGTCGCCCAGGCCGGCTGCCATGGTGCTGGAGCGCTCCCAGGACTTCGGTGAGACGTGGAAGCCTTACAAATACTTTGCTGCTAACTGCTCAGCCACCTTTGGGCTGGAGGATGATGTGAGACAGAGAGGAGCCATTTGCACTTCTAGATATTCGAGTCCCTTCCCCTGCACTGGAGGAGAGGTAAGTCTGCCTGTGCTGGGACAAGAAAGCCCCTGCTCCAGCCCCCTTTCTGTCTGCAATCTCTGCGCTGGTGTTTATGCTCCGTATTGCACCAGCATCCCTTGTCATCACACGTATTTCACAAGGTGAATTATCGCAATTCTTTCCTAGGTGATATAGGCACCGCCCTGTGTCTTGCTTTACTGAGTTCATAATCCCCTTTTCCAAAAATTCCTCTCCTTTCACCTGGTTAACTCCCCTACACAACTGCAATCTAGGCAGATGCTGCTGATTCCTTGGAAACGCCAAAGGAAACATCATTCTAGACGACCTTCTCCAGATCTTGCAGTCGTGTGGGTTTGGGGTGATGCAAATCAGTCTGACTTTGACCAAAATGCAACTACGTTAAAATTAAAAGTCAGCAGATTAATTTCTAATAGTGACAGCCTTCACTGAGGAGTAGGCTTGTAACCAGGGAAAATAGCTGCCAACCACACACTGAAGTATGGTTCCCATAAACCAGGTTAGCCAGGTAATTAAGGAACTTATATCTTGTCTTTTTTTTTTTTTTTTCCCCTGTGCTCACTTATGTGAAAAGAACTTGGAAGAAAAACATCACATTTGCTTAGAAAAAAAATATGTGAAAGTCAGATGATTTTCAGCATAAAAAACAGCAGATAGTAGCAAATGTTTTGAAATGGTACCAATAATAGTCTTCCCTTTGGTGCTTAAGCCTGCCCCGCCTTGCTGGAGAGCCTCCCCTGGGAGCCACGGCCATGGGGCTGCCCTTCTGGGTTCCCACTCATGGGAACGCATCCCCGCTGACCAGCTCTGGATTTTGAAGGCTGCTCCCTCTAGTGGCCTAATTTAATGAACTTGCCTGAAAGTTTAATCAAACTTAAAATTCCCCTCTGGCCCAACACAAAGAAAGGAGAAAATCTGGTTGGTGTGTCAGGGAGTCGCTTGTATAATTGCAGTTTCTGCTGACAACTGGTTTTGATGTTGAAGCTTGGTTCTTGGAGACCATGTTGAGAAAAATCGTATTCAGACCCCTTTGCAGTCATTTGGGGTCACCTCTAGCCATGCTATGCCTAGGAAGTGACTCTGCAGAAATACTGAAAGCTGTTTGTTTACCAAAGTGCATCTCTTAGCTGTGTCTCGGGAGGCAGACAGTGTCTTGCTCTAGGAGAATCTGCTCCATGTTCTCATCCGCTCAGAAACAAGGATCTCCAGACCTGTCAGACAGACCCAGGATGATTATTTCATTAGACTTTAAATCGAATGGCTGGTGAGAACAATTGCTATCTTTCTTTCTTCTGCTGCCACCTTTTGCTTTTGTCCCCCAAAAAGCTGCTTAAACTTCCTTTCAGAGTGGAATATATAAATTATAAGATTTAAAAATATGAAACTTATGAGAAAAGTGAAGAAAGACCTTTTGCCATGGTCTGTTCGGACAGGACAAGAGGCAGCAGTTTCAAACTGAAATTTATTTAGATTGGACATAAGACATTTTTTGGGTATGAGGGTCATGAGGCACTGGAACAGGTTGCTCAGAGAAGCTGTGGATGCCCCCTAACTAGAAGTGTCCAAGGTCAGTTTGGATAGGGCTTTGAGCAATCCAATCTACTGAAATATGTCCCTGCCCATGGCAGTAGTGTTGGGCTAGGTGGTCTGTAAAGGTCTCTTCCCATTGGAACCGCTCTGTGGTTCTAAATCAGGGCTAGCTACAAAGTGAGACCTACAAAAGAAAGTATGTACGTACCCCACTGGGAATTTTTCTGGCCCTCAGCACTTGTGCCAGCCTCTGTGTCGCACCGCCTGAACCATAAAGCTATGCCAGCCTGTGATGCAGGGAAGAGACTGTAATCCACAGCTCTTAGGCCAGCCAGCGGGACACGTCTGGGGTATATAACTTAAGCACTCCTTTTTCATCTTTTTCAGGTATTGTGACTCAGGGATGAGAAACCCAGGGCATCATACAGGGCAGCATTTGCCTCATTTGTGTTAGGTCCCACGTAGCTAGCACCCCAGTGCAGCTTTCATTGTGGTCACACCAGGATGGGGGCTGTACTCAGAGAGAACCTGTGCATATCCCGACCTCAGGCCAGCTCCTCTGTGGGTTGGTGCAATGTGTGGGGACAGCAGAATCAGGGTCTTGTGTGTAGAAACCAATGCCCACCTCAAGAAGAAAAGTTTGGTAGTGTTTGATGCATCTGCAGTAGCATGCTGCAAAACCAGGCTGTGTACCGAGCTTGCTCCTGTGGAATCTCCTTTGGGCATCGCTTTAGTCCGTGCTATTGCAAAGAAGCTATAAAAGTCAAGAGCATTTAATTGCTCCAGTTTTTAAACAAATGTTGCGTCCAAGAGGCTGGAGCTTAGAAGATTATGCTTGTATGGCACACTTCAGTTCTCTGCACTTAAACACCACTTTTTACCTGCAGAGTAATGGCAGCAGCTCTGTGGTGACCAGATGGCAAGCCTGCATGCTTAGCAAATATCACATTTAATTTATTACAGTGTGCTACATTCCAGCAATTACTTGTAGCTGCCAATAGCAACATGTATCTCACCTAAAGAAACATCCTAGTTTTGTGTTCCGTTTGGAGTTATGTTGTGCTTTACTCCCACTTCTGGTAGTACCTAATTTCAAACATATGGAAACAGTAATTTCACTTGAAGCAGTGGTTTCAAATACACAGTCGTCTCAAATGTCTGAAGGGTACTATTTTTTGCAACTCAGTTATCAAAGTTTTCTTTAAAGGACAAATACAAATTCTGTGAGTGCTACCGGATTTCTTTAACTTTTTAGATTTTCTTTAACTGCGATGTAACAACTGTAACTCATGCTCCAAACTGTGTCACCACTTTCTCACACTTCAAACATTTCAACACCCCATGTGCATTTCTGGGCACAGTGGAAAGGCTTGCAGGATTTTGCAGGATGCTGGAATCTCTGCATGCAGCTGGAGGCTGGCTCACTGCTGCCCAGCCCCTTGGATGAGCAGTTTGCCTCAAGTGAGGCCTCAGGTGGTGGTGACTCACCCCAAATGGCACAGACCTGTGGCTTGTTGGGCTGGTGGTTTCTGGTTCTAGCTCTCTGCAAAGAGCAGGTGGTGCTGATCTGCCTGTGATTCTGCCTATCATTACAGTGCCTGCAAGCCCCCATTCAAGGGAGCAGTGTGCAGAATCCCACAGCACTCAGGGGCTTGTGGCCTCTTTTCAATATGTCACCTGTTTGGTCATTTATTAATTTGGGTCAAAGCTGTATTTGCCTCGTTTTTTATTGCAAAGAAAGATCAGACGTTTTGAATTCTGCCTGCATCATCATGAGTCATGCCTTAGATGCCTACTTCAACTCTTATGACAAAAATCCTCCCTCATCAGAATTTGCCCTGATGTTGATCTTGAGAAGATTTATGATAGTGCAGAAAGCAAGCTGCCAAGCTTCCAGGTTCATTTGAAAGATCAAGACCTCAGAAATGCTGAAATGGCTCTGGGAGACGCCTTTCATCCTTCCTCTGTAGTAGTGCAGCTCTGGGCTTCCCTTTGCAATGGTGGGACTGGGGTGGTGGAGAGCACTGGGAGAGCAATACGTTTGGAAGGTGGCACCACAGCGGTGGGAACCAGAAGAAGTAATTATGTCACACGCCACATGTGGCCCTTGGAAGGTCTACTGACTTGGCAGGTCTCTGCTCTTCTTTGCTACTTGTCCCTAATGCTGCAAAACCACCAGACATGGTTACCATCTGATCTGGATGCATCTGAGTGCTCTACCCTGAAGCAGGAAAATGATGGAGGACCTACAGCCCAGTGGTGGGATTAGGAGGGAAAGGACAGGTCTGGACAGAACTGCAGAGGAAAGAGGTTGAAGACGGCATGGCATGTACTGATGTTGGGAACACTGCACTAATGCCCTAGGTTTGATCTAGATGGCTTTCTCGGTGGAAGTAAACATGAGTTCACAGGTCAGCGTGTGCTCAGAGACTCTGCTGAGCTGATCCCTGTGCTCGAACAGCCTGGTTGTAGGCTGGCCTCATGCAAAGAAGAACCGTTGTTTCAACAAGCAGCAAAGCAGTGATTTCTCTGCACATACAGAGGAACCAAACAAATCTACTGAGCCCCTCCCTAGTAGGGAAAGGAGGCAGATGGTGGGTGCCCAACTCCTGCCCTGGCATCCCCAGACATTTACTGCATCCCGTTCAGCAGTCCACCTGCGGGCTGGCACTGCTTTCAGGAGCTCTCACTATTCAACACTTTGGGCCAGGCTGTCCTCCACTATGAGGCCCCTCTAGTGTAGGAGAAGGAGAAGCAGGAGGGAGGGAGAAGCCTTGCTACAATCAACTTGGGTTTCCAGCAAGCTTCAAGCATCTGCCTACTTGAGGGGTTGGATTTGCAACATTGTGAAGGGGACAAGAAACTGCTTCTCTCTCAGGGAATAATTTCAGACCACCTGCGTGTAGAGGGGTCATTATGGACTTTCCCTATGCTTAATTCAGTGAATTAATTGTTTCACAGCAGAAGCTTGTTTAGCATAGGCAGAAACCACAAAATGCTGGCCTTTTATCATTAGTATTTTAAGAGGAAGGCTAAGGTCAAGTTTTAGCCTGAATCACACAAATATGCTACAAATCCTGAGTATTTTCATTGTTTTTTAGGGTGTAACCCTTCAGCTACATTGTTGCAAGGGCAATCAGAACTGGATTCACCAGCCAAACTAATCTGATCTAAGTAAATATGACGCAGAAATAAACTCTTTCAGCTTCATGCTCAGACAGGAATACTAATTTTACTACTATGCATAAAAGGCTATCTTCCCTCCTGCAGTTCAGATCATATTAATATTTCCTTTTTGACACTCTGATTTTAAAATTATCCTCGGGTAGAGATCACTGTTGAGGGCTCATCGACAAGGGGCCCTTAACAGATGTTAATTCTTTTACTGTGAGTGAGAGTGACTGTCCACTCTGCAATGCAATTATCTCATTCACTTTATATTCCCATCTGTGGTCAATTCAGATTAG